AGGACGAGTGCACTGCTTTCATCGCGTGTAACCACGTCCTGGCTATGATGGCATTATACGGCGAGTCAGAGTTTATCACCACGAATTCCACTGGAATAGCAGCGATCCCGATGCGAACCATAAGAGTGATTTTTTTGAGGGGAAGGGCGCTGAAACTGTTGAAAACTATGAGGGTGTCCTTACTGGTTTTAAGTCTTTCTAGGTGAACCCCATCTTGTGAAAGAGGTCATCATACATCACCTCAGACGAGCTACTCGATTCTACCAAGATCTTCTTGACATCATACTTGTCGACTCGTAGGGTGATTACCAAAGCATCTTCATGCGGGAGTACTAACCCGCCTAGGTCGGCATCAAAAAAGTAAATGGCCTTGGAGTCAGGTCGAGGCCTTTTGGATGATTGCTCCTCATATCTGCTTTCCTCCACTTTTACCGCTTGCAAGACCCTTTGGAGGTCAGCTCGGAGGGAGTTATACGTCGGTCTCTTGACGGTGTAAGCGTGTATGACTTCGATCATAGTTGCTACTTCATAAGATGCGTCGACTTCTCCCGCTGAGCCTTCGAGAGGCCTCCTATCAATGAAGTCCCCCCCAAGTGCCCGTCTCGGACCAATTGTTCAAGGAAGGACTTATACACTCTATAGTCTTCAGTTAAATGACCTATATACCTATGATAAGATTACTGAGATGTGGAGTCTCTCATTGATAGGTCTCCTTGCATCTTGGGGGGCCATTTGAAGAAAGACTTCCCTTTTTATCTTAGGCAACATATTGTAAATGGGTTCCTTGAAGATCGTGTTCACACCTTGAAATGACAAACGATTTGGGGGCGGGATGGGAGCTCTTCTCCTCGTAGGTGGTTCCTTCTCCCTCTTCCTCGGCGCTGGGGCCCTGCTCTTGGGTGTCATGGATTCTTCCTCCACCCTGACGTACTTGTTTATTCGAGTCATCAAGTCCTTCATATCTCTCGAGGCCCTCTTAGTAAGAGATCTGTAGAGGTCGGTGTCCCGGGACAATCTCAACCAAAAATGTCGCTGCAGCCATCGTTTCTGAGAAGGCCTTGACGTTATTAACTTCCTCCCACTACTTGATTGCGTACTGTCGAAGGGACTCTCCATCTCTTCGTTGGCAAAGCGCAAATGTCTTTAGGCTATTTACTATTGGTGATGAATTGAGCTATGAAGAGCTCGATCATCTGATTCCAAGATTTGATGTTTTCTGAGGCCAAATTCTCGTACCGCTTCATCACAGTGTCCCCTAGACTCATGGAAAAAACTCGGCACAGTAGCCTTTGGTTATTGTCATGGATGGACATCAATTGCTTATATTACCGCAGGTGGCTTTCAGAATTTGTTCTCCCATCATAAATCTTGAATCAGAGAACGATGAACTTTGTCGGTATTTTGGTCTCCCGGATCGTTCATACAAATGTAAAAATGATTTTCTCGTCCTCATCTCCATACCCCTCTAGGTTGGGTCTCCAGTGCTTGGTATCCAGGCTCACTCGGAGGTCCTCTCGGGGCCTTACATTCCTAGGCCTCCTCACGGTGGATTCTGTATGGGACTTAGTCACCGTAACTCCCCTTGATAATCCATGGTGGAGATCCCACCGGGATAGGCCCGCCCCTGTGGTGATCTCACTCTAATACTTCCTCGAGAGTAGGCTTTCTCTAGTTTCTTGGGTTGCGCCTCTTGGCTGTGCGCCTGCACAAGCTCCTTTCGGGGGCAGTTAACCCTATGTCCATGTAATTGCCTATACACGCTTACTGCTTCGCCTACTAGCATTCCCCGATTGCTCGAAATCATCGAACTGATGTTGTACCTTGGCGTTATCCTTCTCAAGTTGTTTGATGTGTTTTTGCATCCATTTCTCCACCAGCTCAACGATCTCACGAGCCAAAAAGGCCTTGCCCTCTAAGGCCTTGATTCACGGGGGACGTTCGCTGCGAGACATGACCACCTCTATTCGATTGGCTCAAAGGGTTCGACTCCGTGACTGCTGGGATTCAAGTAACCTCCACATTTCTCACACGTAAACTCCCTACCCCCTTAGCTTGGGATAGTGTATTCACCACGATGCAATCGTTACGGGAAAAAGTTCGTATAGTTCCATAGACTACGCCAAATTGCACGAGAGATTTCCTGTAATGTATAGAGATAACGATCCTCCTGATGATGAACTTGAAACAACCACAGGGTCAAAAAAAGGGGTCGGGTGAACACTTGTCTTATCCCATCCGAAACTTAAGTCAGTATAAATTTGAAGGCTTTAGCACAATGTTTCTCTTTTTTCGATTTAGTCATACACGCATTTGTTCATCTTTCTGAGGAGTATTTATATCTGGATCAGTAATAAAATGTAAAGGCTTGGAGTCTCATCTCAACAGTTAATGACTTGCGCTCTTACCCAAGCGCAATGAGTATTCTTCACTCAGATCTTTGTGCCTAGTATACTTGGGCGATAGGACGACTACTCGGGACATGCCGAGAACTTATGATCGTATTCCCAGTCATTTAAGTCTTCTGATTGGCTCTTTGAAACCTACTCCTAGATGTTCAATGCTTGAAAAATAATGCCTCGGGTGAAGCTGAGAAGAGATACTCGGCGATCTAGTCATTAATGCTCAACAATCATAATTGTTGATTTGGATTTCGAGGATACATGGGCTCATTAATGGCCCTGTCATAGTCACTCATATCTTCATAAATGAGCTGTCAAGTCTTCTTAAATATTGGTGTCAGTACATGTACTCGGCTCTTTCGAGCCATTAATCCCTGGAGCCAGCCCTCGGCATCTTTTGAGTTCTATAATGGCTATATCTTGCCACATGTCAATCTAGGAGCTGATGAGCCACCTAAAATCTCGTCATTATTAATTTAACGAATTTGTCGTGTCAAAATTGAATAATTTGAGATTAATTTAACGAATTTGTCGTGTCAAAATTGAATAATTTGAGTTTGACAATAGTCTTATCTTCCCATTATCAGTAGATTGAAGTCAATAAATCTTTAGGTTGTGTTTTAATAACGGATAAAACAAATTAATTTATTTTGCTTGTGTGGTTCAATTGTTTAGACGTGTTTTAATAACGTATTCAACTATTAATTTATTATGTCTGTTTGGTTCGATTTTTTGGCCGCCCCTCTAAAAGATAAGATTAAAAAAAAAAGGGTAATTATTTATGTATTAAATTTGTTCATCAAAACTTGTATTAAATTATTATAGTTGTTAAATTGGTAATAAAACTCACTAATCCAACAACTAAAAGTAGTTTAGTGTAAGTTTTAGTTCTCGTGACATTACTCAAATAAAAATTAGGGTTAATTATACCATAGGTCCTCAAAATATAGAATTTGTCTCATTCTGATCATCAACATTTCGATTGTATCATTTTAGTCCTCGAAATATTGAATATATTTCTATGTGATCTCTCAAGCAAATAACATCCAAATTACTAACCATTTTTTTTATCATAAATTTATTACGTGATACCTAAATACTGGTAAAAAATAATTTAGTTAACTTTCTATCAAAATTTGGATAAAAATTTGGTTAAAAGTTATCCAAATTATTCTTTTACCCGTATTTAAGTATTGCGTGACAATACCTAAATATATTCAATACTTAAAGAGACCCCTATAAAAATATATTCAATATTTTAAGGAACACGTGTAATTTGTTTGCTTGAGAGACCCGCACTTTAAGAATTAAAATGATATAATTAAAATATTATAGACTAAAAGAAAATAAATTCCATACTTTAAAAACCTATACTACAATTAACTCTAAAAATTATAATCCAAAAAAGTCACGATGGTTGGTGTAACAATCATCTTTAACAAGTCGTTCCATTTTCGAACCCTAACAGCACCGGAGAGGTTTTCAAAGAATGGGGACCCACGAAATTTCTCATGGTAGCCTGGTTTGTCTGTGCTAGTACGGCGCGTGAGTGTAAAGGAGCATGGTTTTTTAACCATAGTGTGAGGACTATGTGGCGGGCTGCCAGGAGGTGGAACACAAGGTTCTTTACACGTGTTGTCTTGTCTTCATGGCATGCATGGTTTTGGACCCACTTGCATGACAATTTTTAATATTTTGAGCCCTTAATATTCGGCTATAATTACTATCGTGCCACAATTTTCTTTGAAAATAAAAAGACCAAAATAGCCACTATTTTTTTTTTCCTGCTCCTACATGATGGGATTTCTCACATCTGTCCCATACCCTATCAAAAGTGTAAAGGCAATTGAACTAATCATTACTTTAATCTCTTTCTTTTTTTTTAAATTTGAATATTGTTTATCTCTTTTTCTATGGTCTCCTAATCTTTGCTGCTTCTATTTTCTTTAATTAACATATTTCAAAATTCTTACTTTATTACTTTATAACTCTCTCTTTTTTTTTTATTTTTTTTTATTTTGTATCATCAACTTTATAAGCAAGATAAACAGATCAAAAAAAAGTGAGGGTGGGGAGATAAGAGCAATGGCCTCAAGATGAGTAAGGAGGGTTGACGGTATGAGTGGATATAATTATAATAAATCTTATAAATTATACAGATTTCGCTAATAATATATTCAATTAAAAGTAAAATCAATTAATAAGATGAGCATTTTCATAAGTAACACATTTCATGCATGTAAATATTTTAGGAAGATGTTAAATGAATGCAGTAAAATTAAATCTTTGATTAAAACTAGATATTGTAAACTTGGTCAACTAGCCAAATAAATCTACATTTTTCTCAATTAATATAAAATCAAATCCATCTTGTTAGTATTGTCCGCTTAAATTTTATCGAAAACAACTCATTGTGTATGTTCAAACCCTTATAATTATGCATGACACCCCCCCCCCCAAAAAAAAAACCCTTATAATTATGTGATAGGGCTAAACTTGGTAAATAAAAAAAAATTAATAAAATTTCCCAACCACATCTCTAAATGAAGACAAAAATACAAAAGGGTAAGTTGAAGATTTTACGTAATGCATCACCAGACATTTTTTTGTCTTTCCCAAGATACCACTATATGGGAAACCACTGCGTTCGCTCTTTTATAAAAACCCACCTCCCAAATCCTAACCCGTCCCCCAGACACGAGTCCTCCGCCGTATTCCGTCATCTTTACTCTCTCTCTCTCTCTCGGGCAATTAATCAAACATAAAACCTGCATATCTCATCTTCTTCACTCTTTCTGCGGCAATTAATCGAGCAGAAAATCTGCATATCTTAGAGCCATGCGGATGAGTTGCAATGGATGCCGAGTCCTCCGGAAAGGTTGCAACCAAGCCTGCTCCATCAGACCCTGCCTTGAATGGATCGAAACCCCTGAAGCCCAAGCCAACGCCACCGTCTTCCTCGCCAAGTTCTACGGCCGCGCCGGCCTTCTCAACCTCCTCAATGCCGGTCCTCAACACCTCCGTCCTGGTAATTAATTACAAAGTTAGATTAGCTCACACTCACACACCTTCTCTCTGTTATCATCCTAAATCCCATTATTTCTGTTTGTTTCAAATCTAGAAATTTTAAGCATTTTTGCGTTTCTTAAATGCAAGAAAAAGTAGAATATGTGCAAGTACAGATCTAGGGGTGAAATTTCGGTACTGAATAATGATATAGTATTTTCAAAGGGTTAATTAATAATAATTAAATGAGATTAAGTTACAATAAAAAATGTTAAGGTCATATTAGGATTAATTCCAAAAGTATTTGGGTCGATCTTAAAATTTTTGATCCCACAAATTAATTATAACTTCACCCAGAACTCTTATAAATTGGAGTCTTACCCCTTAATTTAGAAGTGATTGGTTGAGAAATTTTTTTTATTTAATTTTTAGGATTGATTAAATGTTGGATCGATCTTCAGAAATTATAATTTATTTTTTTTAAATTTTAAATTGTGATACAAAAATCGTTTTATAATTTTTGACTAATTTATAATTTTTCTTACCGCAGCAATATTTAGATCTTTGCTTTACGAAGCTTGTGGGCGCATCGTGAATCCGATATACGGCTCGGCTGGCTTGTTATGGTCTGGAAACTGGCAGCTCTGCCACGCCGCCGTTGAAGCCGTTCTAAAAGGTGCACCGATCGTCCAAGTTTCCTCCGACTCGGCTGTGAGCTCCATGAGTCCACCTCTCAAAGCATGCGATATTCGCCACGTGTCAAGGGATGAGAACACGGCTGGGTCGTCACGTGATTTACACGTGGTTAAGAGTCGAGGCCGGTTCAAGCGAGCTTCAAAGCCGAATCCGAAGGTGGGTTCAGATGTTGATGATGCGGCTCGGGTCATGTGGAGCTGGAGCCATAAAGATGGGTTGTTGGATGGGGGTTCGGCGAGTCATAACTCGGGGGTGGTGAGTCAGCTGGCTGAGCCACCGAGTCGGGGAGTGGAGAGCGGCGAGGCTGACAGCTCCTCCGTGGAGACGGTGGAGCCGTCGTTGGCGAACATTGAGGAGCGAGCTGATGTTGAGTTGGAGCTGACTCTCGGCTTCGAGTCGGTTGTGAGGGCAAGGAAAGTAGAAGCCGGAAAGGCAGGGTAAGATATCGACGGTGGTGATGGCGCCATGTGTAAGGCGAAAGTGGCTAGATTATCCTGCATGAAAATTAGCCACATCTGATAAAAGCTAGTCCTTTGATGAACCTGTTTTTGCGGCTCGGATTCAACCAAATGTCAAGGAGTTGTTTTTAGTTCTTTGGTTTTATTTATATATATTTTTTAATTTAAATTGCTTGGCTGTACACATTTCCGAAACAATGCATAGGAGAGTCCCTGAAGAGTTTTCGTAATGAGTCACAATTAAACTTCAGTCAAACTGAATTCAAATTTGCGACTTGGTAGATCATTACTTTACCTCACTACTCCTCTCATAAGAATAAGAAAGGGTTTCAAAGTTCCAAAAGCTTTGAGGCTTACAACAAAATAATCCAAGACAAAACCTTTGGGATAGGTGACTTGTTTTGTAAAGCAAACTTATCTTTGGGAATTAATGACCCCAAGTTAGACAAATGGTCAGCTAATTGGAAAAGACCATTTGAAGTTTGTGAAGTAAAAAATGGACTCTTTACCATTTAAAGGATTTAGATGGAGAGACGCATATTTGTTTTATTAATGGACAATTTCTAAAGGTTTATTGACCAACGGTCTATGAGGTAGCTGAGTGCGATGAAAACTAAAAGAACATATGGCTTTGCCAGCGGCTAATATAGCCCGATGACAACAATAGTGCATGCCCAACTTAACAATTTTTGTACAAATATAAAGCAAAAGCTAAAAATGACAAGAAGTAAATAAAAGTAAAGTATTTGTACATTTTCATTGTCACAACTTGTGAACAAAATAAAGTAATTTATCGTTGAGACAAATAAAAGAGCGGGAGACGATTATGAGCCTCATCATAGGGAAGGACTTGTCGCCCCGTTGAAGGTTAGTCCCTTTTGGCTAGGAGATGCACACGACTGTTGCTTTTATCATTATAGCGAGGAGAAGCGAAATAGGGAACTCGTGTAAGAGGATCTTTAGATGCACCTAAAGCAACATGCAAAATTTGCTCCAGAATCCTCCAGGTCAGGCATAACTGATCGATCCATAGCATCTCCAGCATGTACTTGGGCCCCCAAGCATGACCAAAGGGTATTTGTGCAGTGAGGTACCCATCTTTCAAAAGAACATGAAGTATTTGGTAAAGCTAACTCTGAAATTTAAAGAAATAGGAAAGAGGAGCAAGAAAACTTAAGATCAAAGGAAAAAAGGTCTGATGATCAATGAAATCATCTTTCTTCAATCTCTCTTTAGGGACAGGAGGAGCAGAATGTTTCCAGGTTCATGAAACATTGAAAATGTTTGGTGTGTTTGTAAGTTGTGATCCAAGGGGGTTTCTATAGGCCAAGAATGTTAAGAGGCATTAATGGACATACATTAGAAACCGTCGTATATTCATTAAGATGGAGAATGTGTAACATCATCCATTCAATGCGTAAAGATCGGCTACGTCCGGCACGAAAACCAAATGAAGTTTGCATGAGTTAGTGACTGTGCGGGCTTGATCCTGCACGATATATATAAAATATTGGGAACAGATCTCTCCCCTGGTGAACTTTGGGCGAGCCGATTGAGTGGCCAAACACACTGCTCGAAACAGCTTACGATCCTGGGAAAGAAGGAACGATCCTGTACGTGCGAAAGGTATTTCCTGGGACAAAAGAGAACGAGTTAGAAGGGCGCCGGAGTGTTTTCCGGCGTATCCCCTCCGACGGTCTAGTCAGTCTTTGAATGAGAGAGAGGAAGGAGAAAACACTGAGAAGGATATTTTTGTAGTAGAGAGTTTGTGATTGCATACCCGCTTTGTCTTTTGGGAGGGGTATTTATACCTTAGAAGATCATGATTGCTGTCAGTGTGGTCAGTAGGTAATCATCAGGCACAGGTAGCGTGTGTAATCATTTGATGAGGAATGTCTTCTCTAATTGATTGCTCGGGGTCCCGAACAATCAATGCTGAGTCTGTCGGGACGCCGACGGTACAATATGCTCCTGTCGGGAAGGATGCAATAAATGCTCTGTAATAGGAGCATTTATTGCCTTTCATATCCGAACCTTACCGCATTGAATGCGGTCTCGTCAACAGAAGGGTGCAATTAATTGTTTGCTTTCCCAAGTCGCGTGTCAGCAACGGCACGCGGTTTGTCTGCTTCGGATGTGACATTATTTGCCACGCGTCCATCCCTTATTGGCTGTTACGTCGGTATTCCAGCACGTTCTGACATTACTTGTGTAAGAAGAGGTCATGATGAATAACCCATACTGGCATAGGCTGATGTCCAGTATGTCAGTAGCTTTATCCGGGAGTAGAGGAAGCGTCCAGGATGGAGTGACCCTCGGTGCCGAGGAAAGGCTCACCTCGGGGACCAAGGGGTGGTGTGTTCCCGAGGTACATGGTGACCGAGGACACATGTCTTTGTATAATGTACCGAATATGTGATCCTATATGAGAGGTACCTCGGGGAGAGGACGCCTTGCCGATGGTGCTCGAACCCGAGCAACTTTGTTCCAAAAACCCCGAGGACACGTGTCTTCATCGTAGGCTTTTCAGAAGAGTCCCATCAACTGCCCCCCAGCCTTCGATCTTCTGACACCGAGGACACGCGTTGTCAGGAGACGAAGGGTTTTTCCAACTGCCATCCGTCCTTCATTATGGCCTCGAGCAGCTTTCCCCGTCTTGGGATGTCGTGCGCATTAAATGCGCTGTTTTTGGTTCTCCCGCCCAATGATGACAGTTTCCCCCCTATATAAAGGGGGTTCTTCTCCGGTTTCTATCATTTTGCCATTCCGATCTCTGACCCAGAATACGCCTTTTCCGATCTGCTCGCCGGAGTTTTTTGTTTTCCTCAGCCATCGTCGACAGCATCTTCTCTTAAAACCTCAGTCAGTAAAACCCATTGTTGACTCCTGATCCTTCCGGTGCGAGTTATTTTCAAAGTTTTTCCTAAAAAACTCCGTTTTCGACGTCTTCTGGTGAGTTTCACAACCTTCTTCTTTATCGTCCCCCTAGCCTTCTTGCTTTCCGATTGAACAGTGGTGTCATCCGGTCGGTACGTCTCGATTTAAACCCTCGGGGAACTTCCTCGGGTTTTCAAGAGAGAACACCTTTTCCTCCCCTTTCTTTTTAGAGATGCCTCGTCGTCGCCCTGTTCCCGAGAATCCATCGGCTGGTCCCTCGGGGTCAGGGAAATACAAGGTGACGGGCGAGGCACAGATCGATAGGTTCAGGGCGAAGTATGGCATCCCTCCGAGCGTGGACGTAGTGGGTTTTAACCCTTTGTTGTACTCTCCTACCTTCGGGGCCACGGATGCCATGCCTTTCTATACCAAGGCCATCATAGAGGGTGGCATTAGGTTTCCTTTACCCCCCCTGCTTCTTCAGTTCCTGTCTCGCTTCCGTCTCTTCCCCGGGCAATGCTGCCTCAACGTCTTTCGGATAATTATGGGGGTCCTAGAGCTCAATAGGCGCCTCGGGGTGAATATTGGGCTCAACGACCTCCTTTTCTGTTACTCTCTCCTAAGAGTCATGCCCCACCAACATTTCTACCTCAAAGCCAGGGACCCCTCTATGTACCTTGTAACCCATCTTCCTGACTCGGACAAGGGGTACAAGGACGACATCTTGATCTTCAAGGGATGTTGGGAGAGGGGTGTCGGTCCCGAGTACAATGACCTATTTTGCCCTCGGGAATGGAGAACGACAAGTACGTCGGTTCCTTTGGGTATTTTTATTTGTTTCTTGGGACTTCTCATGTTTATGACAATCTTTTTTGTTGTGCAGGTATTCCTTCTCGGGAAACAGCTCCACCCCCTCGGTCGCTGGTCAATTTTGGCGACTTAACAACGGTTTGGAGTTTCACGGGTGCCGACGGATTTGGCCGAGCTGCCCATAATTTGCTGCACTATACCCCCGGGTATAAGAAGTTCTCACAGCTCCCTCAACCTTTCGAGCCTTCGCAGTGGTCAGAGCTCTTTGATCAGGCGGCGAGGCTAGAGGTCGAGCAGAACTTGGAGGAAGACCCGGATCGGGCTTCAGAGGGAGAGGTAGAGGGAGTTGCTGAGGAAGTCGGGGTCAGAGAGGACGTTGCTCCTTCGGACGCCGAGGTGGGGACTTCGGGAGGCGACTTGTGGCCCGATTTTCAAATTCTCCAATCTTTGGACGCCGAAGACGCTCTCGAGGAAGCGATGTCCAACGCCCCTCGCATTAATTTGGGGTTTCTTAGGCAGAGGCAATCCCTCGCGGCCGGGAGAGGTCGAGGGACGGCCGGCGGTACTCCGGCAGGAACCAGCTCTGCCCCATCATCAAGGGTTCCTGATCGGGGTCAGGTGCGAGATCGGGACCCTCAGGTGGAGGAGGAGAGGAGGGTGAAGCATCGGCACGATGGCCTCAGCCGAGGACCCAGGGTGCCTCCCGCTCAGCAGCAAAGCGGGAGGGATCGTGGATTACCCTCTACTCCCTCACAACCGCAGCAACCGCAGCAGCAAACTCGACAACAGCAGCAACTACAGCAGCCCCGACAACAGCAGCAGCAGCAGCAGCAGGCTACTCCTTCCCTCCCATCCACAGTGGAGGCCGCGGTGTGGAATCCTCGGGCTACTGATCACATGAACCGAGTGATCAGGGTCGATGATTCCATTCTGCAGGATCCCCATGTCGCCTATGCAGTGAGTGAGACATTGCATTTTGAGGCTGACATGGAGGCTCATCGGGGGCGATCAACCAACGTGTTGTTCCGCTCCATGATCCAGAACTCCCTGGTGGTGAGTTTATTCCCGTTTCGATCCCTTCACTCTTGTTTTCTACTTTTGTGTTTTAACATTCTTTCCTTCTTTTACAGGCTGCCCAGCAGATTTCTATCATAGCTGGCCGGTACCACGCGTCCAGGATGGACCTTCAGAGGGCCAAGGATCAGAAGGCTGAAGCGGAAGCTGCCCTTGCTCGGGCAACGGAAGAAGTTGCTGCCAGGGATTCTACCCTGGCGGGGCAGGCTGCCCAAATAGAGCAACTCCTCAAGGATGCTGAATCGACCAAGTTGGGCGCTGAGAAGCTAAGTGCCGCACTTGCCGATGCTGAGAGGAGAATTACTGAGCAAACGCAGCGGCTCTCGGCTGCGGAGGAGAGGGC